GGCGCCCGGGGAGCAGTTGGGGGTTCGGTGCCTTGCTCAAGGGCACCTCAGTCGTGGTATTGAAGGTGGAAGAGAGCTGTACATTCACTCCCCCCACCTACAATCCCTGCCGGTACGAGACTCGAACCCACAACCTTTGGGTTATGAGTCCGACTCTCTAACCATTAGGCCACGACTTCCCCATATTTTGGTGTAAGAAAAAAATGTGTATGCACTAAAGATACATGGTCTGTTAATAGACTGATATTCAGAAGACTTGATCAGTGGTTGGGTGACAACTGAAACACAGAAAAAAAAAACATTTTTCACTATATATGAATATACATTAATATTTTAAATAATAGCTACCAATTCTTTTAGCTGTACCATTTAATTGTTTGGGTTAAATACAGTACTTTTGTATTGAAAAGTCTGCTGAACAAGAACAGTCTAGATGAGAACAAGAAATAGATCATTTTAATGTTCACTGTATGTTGTAGAGACTCATTCTTTCAATTCGGTTATATAAACGTGGTTGTTAAGAAAAGGTGAGCTGGCATCAGTTATTGCAGGCCACTAATATCATTAATATATAGCATATTGTAACTATAACAAATATCCCAAACCACATATCATGATGAAATACTTTATCAACTTTTATGTAAAAAAAAAAGACCCTAAATTGCTCAAAGTGTTGCTCAACTACTAAACCTTAACAAGTCAATGCAGACAGTATCCACAATATAATTCATTATTGTGAAGAAAAATCCCCCATCACACGTTTGCACAATTAGTAATTTCTACTTAAACATTTGCACATACCGTCTTAACATGCCAAAATGTTATATTAGACATGCAGTGCATCACACATGATGTTTCGGTTTCAGTACTTCATGTTTTAAATGAAGTACATACGAGAAGGACCGTCAAGAGCCTCTCTAAAGCATGATCCTGCTATCATCAAATGGAAACAGTTTTTTTTTTTTGCTTACATTTGTCTCTCTCACACACACACACACACACACACACACAACATCAACAGCACGCAATTCAACTAACATTTATGGTTCTCTTATCTGTTGCCAACTCAAGTCAAGTGACCCTCGGCATCTTAGATGAATCTCTTTTTGCAAACTAGAGAAGGTAAGACCTTTGGAAACCTGATCCATTTACCAAAGAGCAAGAGTGAGTGTTTAACAGCTTTAGTAGATTAAAAATCTACAAAACACTTAATTTACCAAATTGTCTGTAAGAGCATTCAGGGCCCTTTATTTGAGAAGCAACTTTAACGATTAACAAAACATGATAACACTTCTGTAAACAGAAAAGCAAAAGCAGAAAGAAAGAAAAGACAGAGCAAATTAGATTGGATTTTAATACCTTGACCTCAACAGGATTGCACAATGAAATTAATAACCAATATACAGATTTCTCATGACTGATATAAAATAGTATTTATTTTTATCTCTCATGGTACATTCTATTTTAAACAATCATCAACTCAATATTTTAAATAAAGACTGAATGAAATTAAGCCTTTTCTTTAAAAAAATTAAGCTCTCTCTTTCTGTAATAGTAATTTGAACGAAAAACAAAATAAAGATTTCAAGCTAATATGATTGAGCGTAATAATATTGCACATGAAAAGTGATATGATTCTGACCAAATCTGCAGCCTTTTCATAAGGCGAATTAAGTCTCACATTTGTGTCGAAATAACACAATCCTCTCTACAAGTCCAGTAAATTACAGCCAGTTAGTACTTCATTCCCACAATGCGTTTGTACTATCCAGAATCATATCACGTTAATGCACACTTATTTGGTTGCATATTGTTAATAAGAAACCTTTTACAAGTTGCTCTGGGATATAAGAATAAGCAAACTGTTAGATGTGATACGCTAGGAGGCCTCACCTCGTGCAACATGACAGTGAAAATGACATCACCGTCATCTGTATGCCTCTATCGGTCAGCCACCAGCAGAATTCAGAATGTAACTCAGGTCAGAACAGAATTTTAGATTCAGAGCTCGAACTAAGAGAGCTCACCTGTATCACTTAGAGCATTCAAAATGTCCCTTGAAATTGTTAAATAGTACCAATAGTCTTTAAATAATTCTGCATAGAAAAATAAATTAAATATGAAGTTAAACTACGAATTGACAGGTGACAGTGGTCATCAATTTTTTTGTTTTTTGTTTTCTTTTTTTTTTGATTTTCCGTATTTTTCTTGAATCCACTATATATTTTTTTCTTGATGAGACTGTTGAATTTAATTGTCGACTGTTGTAATTTACACAACTGCCCCACAAATACAAATAATGTTGACTTACAAAATAAATCCAGATACGCTTACATGGCAAGCAGCTGTTTAGTTTCTCTTGAGTTCATGAATGACCTGTCATGTGCCATAACCAAACACTTCAAGAAGAATCACATTTCAGTAGAACAATATCAAATGGCTCTTTACAGTTAATTGGAATAATCCAAAAATGTACGGATGTTGGCTGCCAGTACCTTCAGATATAATCAAATCCAAGAGTTTCAAGTCCCCAAAAGTGGCAAAATATAATCCAAGAGAGGGGAGTCTGGGGTATTCCACCACTTTCAAGAATGTGTCAATTCCATTTCTTCCATTCCATTTGATTTTGTCATCCCAAGATGCCTAAAAATACTTCCAACCAAACACAATGAAGAAGGGTCAATAAGAAGTACACTCAACACTGTTTCATGACCCAATCATTTGGTTAAAACAAAGTTCAGTGGAATTTGATGGAATTCATATCAATAGCAGCAAACTACGACTGTTTTTTTGTTTTTATTTTTGTTTTTTAACGATACTGACTGATGTGATTCTTAACTCTTAATGGCATCACAAACATAAAAAATTGTATGTAATTTTAACACAGCCACCGATTCTAAGGGAGTTACGTGTTATGTAATGAAACGTGTCCAGTATTCCATTGGTCATTAAGATTTGTCTTAAGGCACTTTTGTCATTACGGGGCAGGTGAAGATGATGTTCTAGAATTTACTGAGGGCTGTCTGTTCCTCTAGTACTTGAAGGTAGTCTGGGGTCCCCATTTTTGCCTTTAGTTCATAATAATCACTTTTACGCTGCTCAATCACTATCTTACCGTGGTTGCCCCCTATCAATGATTTTTTCATTTTTTTGTCATGTGGTTTCTCGGGGTAACGGATCTCAAAGCCACTCACCCCTATACTGTTGAAATCCTTTTTGCTCTCCAAGTAGTTGTGGAGGAACCTGCTGTCTCGTCCCGGTAAGAACTCGTCCAGCTCGTCAATGGTGCTTAATCTCTTCCTGGGGTCCAGGGGTAGAGAGTCCTTGTCTTTGTCGGCGCTGTTGCGCAACATCATTTTCTGTCTCTCCGAGTCTACAAATTTGAAGCCCGACTCTGAGTCTCTAATTCCACACGTGTGAGCTTTGCTCATGTGCTCGATGGTCTGCGGGATGAAGGTCTCTCCACCCAGGTCGTCCTTCTTGTTAGATTTGTGATTGTGCCTCCGGATCTGGAGAGGCATGGAGCCGCACTCCTGGTTGCCGAGTCCCTCCTGTCTTCCCGCTGGTTTTTTGTTCCGTCTCAATACAAAGACCAGCAGGCAGAAGGCCACAAAGACAGTGAGGATCAGAACTACCAGTATGCTCAATATCATAATAGACAAGGGCACAGGACCGCTGGGGGGTGCCTTGCCAACTCCGGCAGGTGACAGCGATGTGAGGACAGGGGTGGCGCTAGTCAGGATGAAAGGAGGCCTGGCTATGAGCTTTGGGCACATGATCTCATTTTTCAGCTCCCTCAGCTCAATGTTGGAGAATTGCACTGGAGACGCACACTTGACCCCTTTGGCAGCGACCCCTTCGTTCAGCTTCTCGAGCCAGAGTTTCAAAGCCACTAAATCGCAGGAGCATTCCCAAGGGTTGCCATCCAGGTCTATCTGAGTGAGAGATTTGAGCTGGTCTAGGACGCCACTCACAGGCAGAGTCATGAAGTGGTTGTTCTTTAGATTCAGTCTGGCAAGAGAAACACCGGCAAAGATGTATGCAGGCAGACTTCTGAGCACATTGTTATTCAGGTACAAGAGCTGCAAATTTGGCATGGAGTCAAATGTCCCTGCTAACACCTCCTTTATGGCATTGTACTCCAAATAGAGATACTGGAGGTTACTTAGCCCAAGAAACATTTCAGGGTGCAGCTGCTCCAGCTGATTTCCATTTAGGTACAGCCTACGGAGGTTGGTAAGATTTGCGAACACACCTTTCTGGACGGTGTATAGTTGATTGCTGCCCAAATGTAATAAATCTAAACCCTCAAACCCTTGGAAGTCAGTGGGACTGATATCTCGGATGTAATTACCACTAAGGTGCAATTTCTTGGCATTTGGCGGTTTAGGTAAAAGATCTGCAAGACTCTGAATGTTTCTTTCTTGACAGCTGACACTAATGCCAAAGTCAGAAGGGTGAGCTTTGCATGTGCAGGGCTGGGGGCAGGAGAGGGGAGGGATTCGAGTTTGATAGGACACAATTTGGCCATTTTTACCAGCTGGGTTGCCAGCGACAATCCCATTGCCATATATTTTGGAGGGATTGGTCGTTTTGGCTGCTTTGGTCACTAAAGGTGCTATGGTTGAAGGTGCCACATTGGACATGGTTAGCCCACCCTCGGGCTGGGAGGGGGGCATCCGCACATCAAAGTCACTGCCTGTCCCCATGGGGCACAGCTCCTGCTTATTAGTCTCCTTTAAGAGTCGGCCATACAGGTCACTAGGGGTCTCACAAATAGCTTCTCCAATGAAAATGTTATAGGGCATATTCTCCAACCAGGCTTTCAAAGGTAACAAATCACAAGTGCAATTCCACGGGTTGTCATCTAACTGCAATTCCACTATCCGCCCAATGTGCTCCAGAACTCCGAGATAAGGAAGCTTCTGTATCCTATTCCCTCTTATGTCCAAGTGAGTAAGGGAGGCGAATCGGAAAATGTTCTCAGGTAGGCTTTGAACCAGATTGTCATTTAAAATGAGAACCTTCAGTTTGTGTAATTTGTTGAAGGCTCCTTTCTCAATGAACTTGATTAAATTGTAGTCAGCCTGGAGGTATTCCAAGTTCTCGATCCCTCGGAAAGTGTCGGCGCGGAGCTCTTTTAACTCATTGTTATTTAAGTGCAACTGTTTCAATGCACTAAGCCCCACAAAGGCCCCTCCCTCAATGTTCTGGAGTTTGTTGTTCCCCAGCTGCAGTGAGACTGCATGTGTGAAATTCACAAAAGAGTTGGGGTAAAGGATGTACAAAAGGTTGTTCTGGAAATTCAAATGGTAGAGGCTGGATGCTGGCGGCTGCAGCTGTGTAGGTCTGTACACAGTTATTTTCTCACAGTTCACATAGAGGACGTTCTCGATGGACATGCAGGAGCAAGCGCTGCAGGTGTCAGCTCTGAGGTCCGAATCCGAGTCACAAAATGAACCCGATATGGAAAAGGCCAACAGAACAAGCAGCAGCATTTTGCCTTTTACAAATCCCCCAGTAAACCATTTAGTAACCTTAGAGGGGGGAAAAACAAACAAACAATCAAAACACATGCCTGTTTCCCATTGAGTCACACAGCTAATGCCAAGATCTTACAGCAGGGGTGTTTAAAAAGCCCTCTGCGCACACAAAGAACTTGGAAAAAACCTGTTATGTGCCTCTTGGATCCAAACATAATATCTGAGCCTACACTGAAAATAAATCCATCTGTATTTACAAGCACCACAATTGAAAAAGAAAAAAAATATATAATTTTACTACACTGAGGTAGTGTGACTAACACCGCAATGAATGTATGCATCCGCTTATTTCTTGTGTTTCAGTGAATCGAAGAGGGGGGAAAAAAGTCTCTTTCCATCGCATACAGAAGACAGTAGCTTATCACCTTCACAAAAACGTACTTTAAAATACAGTACAAAGAGATCATGCCCTTTGGATTATCAAGCTTTGCCAACAAATAACTGAATGTATAAAAAGATAAGAAATCAACACTCACCGGCAATGTTAATATCTCCTCCTTTTCAGATAACACCGGACATTGGGAGCGCTAAGAGAGGGACTATTCCCATTCAGTCAGGTTCAGCTTTCAGTCTCAGCCTCTCTCGTCAGGCTCCACTTGTACAAAACATATATTGTCGTAAAATCCCAAGGTTACTGAGCTCTTTTGAGGCATCTCAAACACGGCGCTGCGTATTTGCGCTCAAAAAATTTATTCGTTTCGAAACCAAAATGAAAATGGTGAAATAGCAAGTGGTGAATTTGGATGCAAAACAAGTCCAGCATTCTTCCGTTGAAAGAACTGAGCATCAGTTTAGACGCAATTTGAACGGACAGTTCGCTCAACAGTTCCGAAAAAATAAATAAATAAATAAAACAACTGATACAGATCTTAATAAATTAATCGCACCAATCCATCGCGCGTCGCGGCTCAACCCGATTACTGAAAATCGGAAATCGACTCCAGCTGATTCCTGCCGTTTCTTGGGATTATGCAAGTTGCGAGATAAGAGGAAAATAAACTACGTGCTCTGATGTCAGACCGACGAGGAAATTAATAATTCAGCTGAGTAAAATACGCTCGAAAAAGAGATGCCACCCTATACCACATAGTCAAAATAAGTATTGTTGGTGCAGTCCTCGTCCGAATAATGAGACCGGTCTTATAAACCAACTATTCCACCTCGTCTTCTTCTAAGTATGTTGGTTTTGTTGCTGCATTGAGCTTCCCACACGGTGAAGCGGGAGGAGAGAAAATGCAGAGATGCAGAGAGAGAGAGAGAGAGAGAGAGAGAGAGAGGCAGAGGGAGAGAGAGAGAGAGAGAGAGAAAGAGAGAGAGAGCAGTTCTCTTCTCTCATTAATGAGGCATCCACACGAGAGATGAATTGACTACTGTCCATCTGAAATAAGCATCCGATGTGTCGGGCCACCGCAATCACCTAGCATGCAGATTTGGGTCATGAGGTGACACCCTAATTCTTCATTAGGGATATATGGTAATGTCACTCCTTTGATCACACCAGTACTACAACACATATTCCATACTAATGCATGACAATATTAGACGGCACTGCAACATTTGTTTCAATCATATAAACATATCAAAAACATACCAATAAAATAACTCCGTAATGACGTTTGCATTTGAAATATGTGTTTGTTAATACATTCACATTGTATACTGGCAGCAGTCATCCTGAAAAAGCAAAAACCACCATGAACACAATTATTAATACAACATGCAAACATTTAATAATTGAGTACAAATTGCTATCTAATAAAATGTGCATTGCTAATAATATATATTTGCAATGTTATTAATATAAGATATATTTTTTAATTATGCATATAATTTGTACAAGATTAATAATACAGTTTGTTAAAAATGTAACAAAAAATAAACAGAACAACTAATTAATATATTAATTATCAACAAACACATTTGTGCTCAATGTGAGAGAGAGAGGCAGAGGGAGAGAGAGAGAGAGAGGAAAGCGCGCGAGGGGAGGGGGGTTAACAGGGCGAAAATATTAAAGAACAAAATTCAACTTCAGACACCCCTTAAACACTCACTAGTGAACATTATAACGCGCTCTGCTAGTGTCTTTCGTTGAGGGATCGCTGGAAATGGTAACGCGTAATCTTTAGATGGATCCCGGCCAGTTCGTGCGCTCGTAACAGATTTCCTCACTGCAGCGCGCGATGATTTAGCTCGTATTTTAGTGTATTTTATTTTATTTTATTTATTTGTTCTTTATCTTACAATATTTATATCACCCCAGCGCGCGCGCGCGTTTGTGTGTTATATAGATAGAGAGAGAGCGAGAGAAGTGAGGGCGATTGACAGGTCGAACATATTGAAGAAGAACATTTAACTTCAAATATCTCTGAAACACTCAATAGTGAGCATTATAGAGCTCTCTTTCTCATGTGCCTTTCGCTAAGGGACCTCTGGAAATGGCGACGCGCAATCTTTAGCTGGATCAAGGCCAGTTTGTACGCGCCCGGTTGCCTGGCAGCAGCAGGAGGATTTAAGGGGTGGAATTCTTTATTTTCTTTATTTTACAATTTTAAGATTGCGTGGCACCGCATTCAGAAACTGCGGCAAAGTCACCCACAGTAGTTTGAGCTGTTGCACGCACAGCAAAAAAATCTTTATAGTTTGACAGCTCGCCAGGGATGGTGATTCATTCTTGATAGACAACAAGTGCGCCGTTTTATCGACTTCTTATGTCTTTCCAATAAGTTGAACATTGATTTGTGCTCATGCATGTGTTTAAATGATGTTATGCCGTGCATGTTACGTAATTGGAAGCAGTTATGATTAAACCTTTAGATTATGAAGATGCAATAGGAAATTAGCGGAGTTAGTGGACATAGATGAGGCATATCCGTGTCTGTCGTGTCCTGTATTGATCTGCAGTGGGTTAATGTTGAACCAATAAAAAAATAAGATCAAACACGGCGCCCTCATCTGGCAGAAATAAGTGAGATTTAGCTCATAAAATGGATTGAATTCCAAGCTTTTTATATGTATATACAGTATTTGTTTTATATTTAGTTCATGGTGCGCATGGTCTGATATGGGGGAGATGGGGCGAGCTGGTAAAAGGTTGTTACATTGTCTGTATCAGAAACTGATTTCAGTCAAAAATCCAATTGAATAAACGTGTTTTTTCTCTCTGTACTTGATCTGTTGCTTTGGAGAATTGTTTTAAAAATATTAAATTCAAATATCATACTATTAAGGATATGTGAGCACACTAATGATTAATGTAACAAAATAATTTAACTAAAACAAGAACAAGCATATTTCGAATAAATATCAGTTCAGTAAAGTTGTTTTATACTTTTCAATTTTATTTGTATTTTTAAATGATAAATTACAGTTTCTGATATCCAAAACAACAGACTGTTATTTTGTATGTACTGTTTTTAATGTTGACATGTTCTGAAAAGCCATTATATATACATATTTTTATAGACATGACTCTATGTGTCTATAAAGAAAAATAAATTAAGAAATTTTGATAACTAGCCCCGATCATGCTACAAAGAGCATATAAAGTTAATTCCATTTGTGTGTGTGTGCGCGCGTGCGTGTGTGTGTGTGCGTGCGTGTGTGTGTGTGTGTGTGTGTGTGTGCGCACACATGTGTCACTTTACAACCAATTGTTTTAATATTCACATTGTTGAGCACAGAACTCATTTCAGCCTAATATAACATTCGGGAGCCTAAAACAACATCTGTTGGATCAATGTGAAAGAAAAATTAGATATTTATTAAGCCCCTAGCTATAACAGTGATGGTTTGCACCTTCTAGTTTGGAAAATTATGGAAGCGTATTGCTTAGAGAGCCGGAAATCACAAGAAAGTCCCCCTTCAACAAGAAGTAAAACAGCAAAGGGCCCCCAGGGGCTTCGCTCAGTTATAAGCTGGGCAGCATCGTCGCAGTTGTTCATATTTTGTACATTTCTGTTTATACCAAGGTATGGCATAAACACTTTCAGTCTGGGTGTTTAGTGTGAAGTGACAGCCTTTGCTCTGTGAATACGGGGGTTGTTCTGGTTTTTGTGTCTGCCTCTCTCAAGTTTCCGTCTTTGATATGTTAAACAACTGCCTATTTTTAACTGGCAACAAGAAGAAGAAGAAAAAAATACCAATAGTGGTGGTGACAATAAAAACATATAAATGTTGTTTGTTTTGTACACAGTTTTGTCACTTGGGTTGGTTGAAAATGCCTTAATTTAATCCACATTTAATGCCGGTGCTCAATGTGTTTTTTTTTGTTTGTTTGTTTGTTTATTTTGCCATAAACTTACTGCCTAACAAGAGCAGGAACCAACAATTATCATTAATTTATTTAAATGTTATACCTTTTCTTGCCTTATTTACTTCTAGATAGAATATTAATCTATATTTAGTCCGTATACATTTATGTTCTTTTTTGTTTTGTTTTGTTTCTTCGCTCACTAAGACTATAATTTCATGTATGCGTTTCTGTGAGTCACTGATAAAAAATAAATAAAACTTAAACATGGTGGAAAAGAACATTTGTATATCATTAGTGTATGTGACACTGTGGATGTCAACGACATTAAAAAAAATAAAAAAAAATAAAACAGAAAAATCTTACCATGTTTGACAGAGAGTAATGGCTCAGTTTCAACTTTTCAGAAAGTGTGAATGAGTAATGAGATGCAATTTATGTAAAGGATACCAGTAGTGCATCCTTATTCCTCTGGTTGTTTTTACAATCCACATGTAAAAACACAGTGGGTGAAGAAGTTAAAAAAAGAGCAAGGGCAAGATTCCAAAGTACCTGTTCTTCTGTTTTTGCTTATTTCTGTTTGTAGCCTCTTCTCCCAATAGGCAAAACAGAGAATGTCGCCTTCATTCCACATGTATTACAGCTTTCTTTTAACCCTTGATCCTCGTTCCCGTCAATCATACAGCAATCTAATAAAGTACATCCCTCCAGCTGGCAAACATGTTGATTGACAGGCAGTCTGTTGAAATAGGGTAATGAGATAGAAGAGATGACACTGTGGAACGTCGCCTGCAGTGGATGAGTGTGGCTGGGAGAATGTCTACCGGGGATTACCGCAAAGAACTTTGGAGTCTAGTGGCAAAAGTGGCTTTGAACTATCTACATATGTACACATGCGATGATTAAAGCTGTTTATCTTTCTTGTCGTCTGAAAGGGTACTAAGCCTTCAGGCATGGAAGACGTTCACATTCATTAGGAAAGCTGAATGTGTCTGAGTGGCAAGGGTTTTTAGATATAAATGAAAATAATAGATTTGACTGTATTTTATAGGGGTTTTACCATCTTTAGTGGAAGTGATAGAGTTAAAAAAAATGAAAACAAGAGAGAAACATAATCATAAATGAAAGACTTTGATGGTTATAGAAGTGAACTGGCATCTTTGTATGGACTAGAAGGCAGCAGGGGATACTAATGTCCACTCCACAGTTGGCAACAACAGATCCGCTGTGTCTCATCTGTTCCAGTTGAGTCTTGTGCCTCCTCAAATATCGCAAGGTTTCTATTAACCACAAAGATAGCAGTAGCAGTCACATTGTGGCCTACTGGGCATGGATCCAAAAAAACAAAACACGGCGATTGTGCGTATTGTTCAGTCGTGGTCCTTCAATATTGCAAAGCCTGGTGAATAGCTGAAAATAAGACATTTTGAGGTCATGTGATCCGTTCTGATACTCCGCACTGGAAGCAGTCACTTCAGACATAAATTTATTGTAGAAAAGAAAAGTGACAACATTTATTTTGCTTTCAAAATCTCAAATTTTCTAATCAGAACTGCGGTTTATTGGCACACACACGGTTGTGCAAATAGAAGACACATTTCATAATGCTTGTGCAAGTTTGATTAAAGATTTCAAACTGTTTTTATTTTGAATATTTAAAAAATGTGGGCCAGTGAGTGAGTATTAATATATATATATGAATGAATGAATGATGCAAAGCTTAGTTTTCAGCATCAGTCTTCAGCATCAGAAATAATTCCAATATGCTGATTTGCTGCTCAATAAACATTTCTTATTATTATCATTGAGAAACATAATTCTTAATAAATAAAT